ACTTCTCGAGCTTGGGCACGGCCTTCTCGAACTCCTTCTCGTCAATCAGCATGTTGCCGGAAGTGTCGATCTCGTCAAACATCACCGTCAGCTCGAAGTAGTCGTAGAGGTAGCACAGCATCAGGCGGAACTCAAGGAATTCAACGAAGTCCTCGGAACCCTTGTTCTCCAGCTTGCTGCCCAGGTCCTTCGCCTTGTTGAACGCACGCTTCGTGATGTCGTGCACTCGCGAGGTGAACTCGTCCAACTTCAGCACCTCAATGCAGCCGTTGTACACCTCATCGTAGGACAGCTTGCCGGTGTCGTTCTTGTCGAACTTCTTGAAGAGGTCAATGCGGCGCTGCTTCGCCTCGGCGGTCTTCTCGCGCGGAATCGTCTGGCGAATCCGCTCCCACGCAACCTTGCGGTCTGTGGCGCTCTTTCCATCCTTGTTGCCGGCTGAGCTCTTCGACCCGCAAGCCCCCATATCTTTGTTCTTCCTGGATTGCTTTATTATCGGCTGTTGCGCACACTGCGACACACATAAACACAACGGGAAGGGGGAGCCGAGTTCAACGCCCGCGACGGCACAGGACGCACCAGCTAGGACGGCGGCAGCAGAAGAGTCCACACTTGGCCACACTTGGCCACACAAACTCATACGCACAAACCCAAGCAGTAAAAACATATACACATGACCACTACTTCCAGAAATAACTTCTATCCCTATACCGCCCCACACCCAGTAGCTAGTTATATGGAAAAAAAATATCTACATTGGTGGCAATACAGTATTTCCCTTTACTTTATTGATGACAATGCAATAATGCAGTAACATGGTTTAAATTTACGTGCCGCAATTTTTTTCATCGTGTGAGGTAAATCTTTTGTCTTTACTGTGTTGTTTCTGCTGACAAGCTATTTGTTTCGGTTAGTTTTGCACGCAGGCCTAGAATTGTTGATGGCGGCGTTTTTGTATTTCTTCTAAAGGCGGCACGAGTGTAAAGGAAGAAATTTCTTAAACGTAAAAATTGCGCGTATTGAGTAAAACTGCTGTCCACGCGAGTAAGTAGTGACGTAAATAATGGGTGTCGTTGTTTTCCTTTATAATTATTTTTCCCCGATTATAAAAATAAAGTGTAATTCCTTCCTAGAGTGGTTGCTTATTCCATAAAGAGGCGCTAGACACGTATTGCAAGTTTTTTTGCGTTTTTTTTAATTGCGCTGTATGAACTGGAAAGACGCTCCTGTCATAAATGCACATATTCTGTCCCACATACCCACACGAAGGAAGTAACATAACTAACAGAATAGTGTTCGCAAAATGATCCGGAGGCTGAGAAAACGATATTGCGGAACAAATATTTTGTCTTTTTTCTCCGCTATTATCAGCAAAAGGACTTTGGGCAGGACAAACTTTGGGATGCTTCATAATCGTGGGAGTATGTCGCCCCTAGACACAGTAGTTAATGCAGCAACCAACCTCACCTGCATAGATCCGGCTCATTGGAAGATTGTATCCATCTCCTTTTTCTCATTATCGCCAGTAAAAGCTATGCATTGTGCCATGGTGAAATTCTGATATGTCAGGTCTCTTCCCCGCCTCACCACTAGTTACCCTCCCAAAGCATTTACTTTGCTACGATGGAACCTTAGTTCTACCCTGTAACATGGTCCGCGGAACTGAGCAACAGCATGGTGACGCAGAACGCCTTCACTTATATTAGAGCTCAAACCGCAATATATGAATTCTGTGTGCCTATAGTTGTTCTTGTATATTTTTTCCCTTGTTAGCTACGAAGAACAGTATCTTCCATGGCATAAAAATGGCCTTTATCAAATCAAGAATTATATATATATATATAAGCTCCCAACTCAAGCAAACACCCCACCTTAATCGAATATGTTTCAAAGTAGCATCGCATTCCTGAGCTCCCGTAATAAATTCAACTCACTGTGATGACCGTAGAATTCCGGCAACACAGTTTCTCCTAAACAGTGTTCAAGAATATTTTCATAGACGCAGCAAGAACTTTATCTGTTCGTTGAAGTAACAACTGTACGGGTGGTAATAATGTGGCGCAGATTAAAAAAAGAGCCCATTCCCAAACAATAACTACTTATGACCCGTTGTTTCGTGGGCCAAACGCGCCACGCCTGATGGGTTATTTCGACATCGCATCAGACTTCCGTAGTATCAAATAAACTAGAATGTTACCTTCAATGCAGAGAAGTAAGAAAACTTTCAAGCTATTTTGTCTATGTGTAATTCCAATGCAACTCATACCCGTGAGCTGAGGTTTGCAAAAAAAAAAACGTTGCCAAGCCATAACTTGGGTTGCGTCATATATATATATAGTAACTTTAACAACTCTAGTTCTGTATCCGCAAATAAAGTTACCCTATCCATGTATAATGGTTTACCTGTAAAAACTGATGCATTTCCTTGCAGCCCAGCAAGCACGATAGGAATCTGGTGAGACCGGGAGCTTCACTGATAAAAAAGAGACCATACCAAAACAGACACCTGATATTTGCTTTACGCAGTTCCCGTACACTTCTTTTTTCATTTGTCCCAAAAACTCATGTATTTTCTAAGATAAAATGGGGGCTTGGATACTGTGAATTATATAATGTCACTTGTATCTTCGAAATAAACACAAACTCGCAAATATTACCAGTGTCTCTCCAAAACGAGAGCATTTTATATCAACAAATGTCATTTATTAGTAAAATTTAAGCGATATTCGGGCCCAACCCACCGTTCAACTGGACAGCACCATTACTGCATGAAATTCAAATTCTATACATGTCAGGCAGTCGAAAACCCTATCGCTGAACTGTGTTCCTGAAGAAAAGTTAACCTTGACGTGTCATTTCCAAATATCAATAAACTTGTCTAGGAATTATTCTTCCGAGTCCAGTTGTGGGACCTGTCCTCTCTGTTTAATATGAAACAAATAGCCACAACACTCATCTCGTCACAAGTTGCCTTTGACTCTTTCATCTAGAAGTGGGTATGCCAACTATCCGGCACACAGAATAAATGCGAGAGGGTCAATCGAATTTTAGCCGAAAAAAAACTTGTACAGACTCATTCGGCATTTTTCTTCATAGGAAGGAAATAATCTTAGCAAGAGGAGTTCCTGGCCTTTTTTTTCTTTCGTTTACACTCGCAAACGACGCAATCGCACAACAGCCTTCACTCCTATTATTATGATCAGCACTGTTGTCATTGCCTTAAATAAGCAATAAATAAACAAACAAAAAAAAGTTAATTACTACTTCACTACCATCATTACTATTATACATATTATTAACAACATTATTAGCATGGGAAGCTTTTGTATCAGTACATTATTATTAGCATTATTGATGCTATTTTGACTGTTGTTTTTATCCATTTTTATTCTTAAGAAGAACCATACCCAAAATCCTTCTCTTTCTCTCTCGCTATCAATTTACGCAATTTCCAGGTTTTTCGCATTTACCGTGAAATTGTAATGAAGCAAAATTATGATGAACTTTCCCTTTTAATATATTGCCGTAAAGGAAAGAGTCCTCTTGTGTGTCCTGTATTTAAATCACCGTAAAGTTTTTCCGCGAATGCAACGCAAAGGAGAAAAAGCTCTAAAGCTGTGGATATAAGTTGTTTTTTTATGCAATAAAATGCAAGGCCCAGTTACTCACCTTCTCTCGCAACTATGACCTGCTCATAATGCCGACAGAGTCCAAGGTTCCATTTTAAACAAACAAGCTTAGAATATGTGATGTTTTCTGCTGATCAGGCTTAAGAGAGCAGGGACTATAGTCTTTTTTTTGCATTTTGTGGCTGCCCCATGTACCACTTGGTGTGGAGCTCCTCTGAAGGAAATGTTCCCGGTAGTTCATCCTGACGCATTGAAAACCACGGCATTATCACCCTCTTTACAGTTAATAGCATATGCGACAAAGCATCCCAGCCCTTCAAATGCATGTATCAGGTTGAAAAGCCATCAACCAAACATTTCTCAAACATTTGATTAGAAATACAAGCTTTTGCAATAAGAAAAACAGCTTCTAAATGGACCGGTACTAGTCCAGCAACTGCCGACCACGCATCAACAAAATACAGAGCCAATAATAGATAACTAGGGCCACCCCAACCACATAGACTCAAGAAAAAAAAAGGCGGGCCAAATACACACGTGCGCAACGACGATCTTGTTGCACTTAAAGCAACACCAAGAAACACCAGTTGCAACAACAAAAAAAATAGCCGCACAGACAACCCACGCAAAATAAAGGCGTCCCCCGCCCAAAAACGAAGCACACTATGCGGCAACTTGCGCCCCACGCGGCGTCATTAGAGAAAAAGAGGGGGGCGCCGACGTACCCCACCGCGCCCTCCGCCAGGAAGGGGGACGCACTTCGCCGGGGCAACGAAAAACGCGGCTTCTTCACACGAAAAAAAAAGAGCCCAAGAGGACCCCGCAACGCTTCGCCGCCCGCGCCCGGCCCTCGGCCCAGCGGCGCGGGGACCCGCGTTAAAACAGCTGCCCCTTTTTTTTTGCCTCATAAGCCGCCATCCAAAAAAGCCAACCCGCCGCAACGGCAAGCCAAGCACCGGCCGGAGGGCGCCCGTGCTGGCTTTTGGCTCCCCTCTTTGCGGCGATCGGCGCCTCAGCGGCCCCCGCAAGGCAGAGCAGTTCACTCGAGACGGCCGCGGTCGCGTTGTTTCATTCGGACCCGCCCCGTCTGGGAGGTCGCGCGGCCTGCAGCATTTGGGGGGGCGCAACTTTGGTGGTTCGGCGTTTGGCAAACGGGTTTTCGCGCGTGCCGCGGCACCGCGGTCCTCGCGTGGGGGAGGATGCCGGTGAAGCTGCCGCTTCCGCCGCCCCCGGGCGCGACGCTGCCGGACTCGGTGCGAGTCGATGGGTGGGCGGCCCGCTTCACGGCGGGCAGCGACGACGCGTGGGCCACGCACGACGCGCAGGTTGGCGAGACAACACATCGCCCCATCGTTTTTCGCGTGCCCCGCGGGCGGCGCGGCCGGAAGGAGGCAGATTGGGCTGCGCATGGGCGCTGTGTTAGAAAGTATTCGCGCGCAGACGCGGGGGAAATACGCGCCACCCGCCGCCGCATCAAATGAATCAAGCGCGTCCGGGTCGCCGTTCGGAAAAC